GACTTGTGAAAGGAAGAAGAAAGAAGTTAGTTTTAGATTTCCAGGATGAAGGAAGGTGAAGAAGATTTCCGAAGGTAGTCTCCTCTCTCGAGGGCATGAGTGTGAAGGGATCAGATTCATGGCTTGGGACCCAAGAGCATTAACGAGTAAACTCTATTGTCGGACTAATGACCGCTCAATGGAAGAGCTCAAAGGCCACGTGGTGGCTGCGGACGACCACTCTTTCAAACAGATGGAAGTTACTAAAGTGAAATTGGAACTCTCGGAAGAAACTTCAAACTCTATCATTTTTAAAATTAGACCTTAACATTTATTCCTTACGGGCTATCTCATTCCTAATTCATGACATTTAAAAAAATAATTATTTTAAATATCATATTTGTAATTTATAACGAGTAATAAATATTTATTTTTTTATATTTACTTTTATATATAATTAATAATTATTATTTCCAATTTATTGATTTTTTTAGAAAAATTTTTTTTTAATGTTTAAACTAAAGAGTAATATATTCAATTTACTTTTAATGTCTAATTATTATAATTGAACAAATTTAATATTTTTTTTGAGACACCACACACACACAATTCATAAATATGATAAATATTATGGACCGAACTAATAATAATATTTTTATATTTTATGAAAATAAATTCTGAAAGTTTTATTGACCGAATAAATTTTGAAATTTAATAACTAATTTAAAAAAAAAAAAAATTGGACACAACTCTCTATATTACTGAGAAGACTGAATACAGTGAATATGTTATGATTCAAAAAGTCTTCTGGGGTCATATTCATATTTGTCAAAAAAAAAAATATTTATAAATAAGTTATTTTGTAGTATTAAAAAAAATTAGCCTCGTATAATTGAATTATAGGTTAGAGTTGTTTTAAATTATTTTAAGTTTCGCATTGGGATTGATTACTCTTCTCCCAATTCCTTTATAAAAAATTGTATCTATCATGAAGAAGATTAAGGAGTTACGGAATATGGAATTAATTTAATTTTTTAAAACTTATTTTAACTTCCTGGCATTTAATTCTACTATAATAGACAACCCCACACTTAAAATAATTTATTTATCTAATTTTTTTTATGATATATATATTATATA